TATCGTTATAAGAAAGAATTCAGGCAAATTATGGCAAAATGTGCGGCCTGTGCTCCTGCCTGACGCAGTTATGCAGCGCTGTTGCCACCTGGTCGTTAGCGGCGGACTAAACCCAGCCCAAGTTACCCGTTGAAATGAACCATGTGGGCACCGTTGCCGGGGTCATATTTTCTGAACCATTTCTCCGTACTACAATAGTGAATGGTGAATTATCATAGTAAGCATAGTTCATGGTTATGAATTGGGGTAAACTTGGTAAACAAATTGTTTATATGAACAACACTTGAGGCACGAGGATGTGCAGTAGGTGTGAACAGGGATGATTGTTTTTAGAGTTATTGATTATATATGAATATATAAAATTAGTATAATATTAATATATGTTATACGGTATTATAAATATAAATTTTATGCATTTCACCCAAATTACCAAGACATTATTGCTTCATCAAACTACTTATAACTAAATAATTATATTTATATTCGCTGCCTTCGCTACACAATCGTTTCACGAAACTCCATTTGAAATGTTTTGAGTATAACTACAAATTGTTCATAATTTCAGCGTAATAATAAAGTGTTGTCAGCTTTTCGCACGCCACGTTCGCCTGAAGTTTTGATATTTGTGAGCACTGAACAACCGCTAAACACTGAACAGTGAAATGAAAAGGCGGCGATCCATCGTGGCCTGGGACTGCTACGTCCGAAACAAATACCAAGGATACCAAGGATGAAGCCGATTCTTAACCACCCGGCCACCTCGCCGATTTCGACCGGTATTTTCACATCCAGATTCGAACCCGCAACTCGATGCTCCAATCTTCTCCCACTCGGCCACCCGGCGCTCGGGTCAAGATATTCTCAGCCATATACGCGTCTTGTTAGCTTATATGCAGTCAACGATAAAAATGTTTTATTTAAGCATAAGTTATTTGTCAGATTTTTTTATTTTTTGATTTGTAGAACACAAAAAGGGGATATGCGTAGTTTGAGTGCCCAATTTTTCAACATAGGATAATGAAAAACGTTAATTTACTTCTTGGCAAATTCGCGGAATTCGTTCAGCCGCGGCGTTCCATCGATCAATCGTTCGCCACTTCAGCGACTTCAGCGTCTTCGGCGTCTTCAGCTTTTAAGTGTTACCCCTTCGAGCTAACGTCTGGTAACCTTGCTGCCAAGCATAAAATGCAACGATTCTATGTAAGGGAAGTATTTGTGTATTTCTAGCAAATAAACACAATGTGTTCATCAAACCCATGAACATTATTTAATTCCTTCCTTATAGGATCTTCCACATCATTGGTTCCAACTATCGCCATCCTGTCGTAATCCACATGGAGAAATCTTCACGACTGCAATAAATCGGCGACTAAAACTACTATTTGTAGGGGCCGATCACCACATGATGATCAATAAGCTGTTATGATCGCACCAGAAAGTTGTGGTTCAGTTGTGTTTATAAAACAGATCGTTTCTATTGATGGTCGCCACATATCTGTGGCAGCTTAAGAGTGAGGCATCGCCATTAGCTGTGAAAATTCAGCAATATCAATAATTGGCCACTTGCAAAACATGACCAAATCTCAGATTCTGACACAAATAGATTATGTTATAGTAATCAACATTGCTCCCAAATGATATAGTTAGTGGCAGCAACTACGGCCTGGCCCATAATTAGGGAGATCAAGATGGCACCTGGACGGTGCCTGGTCTGAAGCGCTAATAGTATGATTCCAGTTAAGAATAGAATAGAAGTGTCGGCACTGAAGAAATAGGCCCATGGCCTGTTGCCGATTCTTGAACTTTTCGTGACTTGATTCACAAGGGATCCGGCCTTTGAAACCCGATATTTCTATAGCTGACGATTGATTGAGATAGCTGCTGGACTTATTGCCTGGTCCGTAATTTGCAAGGCATTTTAAGACTGAACATTTGCTCCTGCATAGCTTCGTCTAGTCTGTTTTTGAAGGATTCTTCCTTGCAATTATCAAGACTGAAAGAGTTGTCAAACTGTGGAGCATTGAATTTTGATCTCTAGAGAAGTGATACATGAGCTCTGACACTAAAATGCCTAACACGCAGCAAACATGAGATGCATTGAATACCGCTTAGAATTTTATATTTTTGGGGCGGTATCAGCGTGTAAGATTTGGCAATTGCCTCTTTCGCCTATTCTGAACATCGCAAAATTTTACAGCTTGCACGGGTCTCAAACCCGCAACTCACTGCTCCAGTATCCAGTGTTAAACCACCCGTACACCTCGACAATCTTGACCTGGGGCCGTATTATCAAAACTTCTTAAGTAAACAAAATCGACTTACGAGTGGCGTTGCTATGACAACGTAATACTAGCGGTGGTATTATAAAAACATTTGCGCGAGAAAAAAATTTAGTCTTTTAGCTAAGACTTGCCTACGAAAGTTTTGATAATGCCAAAATTAGGGTGTATTTACGTACCACAGAATTTTTTTGTCGTAAGTACAAAAAGTTAAGAAGTTTTGATAATCCGGCCCCTGAACTGTCACGTGAAGCTAGAATCAAACCCAACACTCACCACTACAAAAATATTAGTTACAACATAGATAGTCAATTAGAACAATGCCTTTTCATGAACAAATAATAAATGCTATTTTGTGGCAGGAAAATTGTTTACAAGGTTATTGATACAATAAAAGGATTCAGCAATGATGGCTCAGAATTCAAATTTACGGCACAATTAGGATCTAGAAGAAATGGAGAATAACAGTTTACATTATGAATACAATCAGGACTTGAAAGAAACTAAATGGCAGTTGGCATTTTAGACACAAGTTGGATTGAAAAGAAATGGAGGAAGGCATTCAACATTAAGTGGGATTTAGAGGAGCTGGAAAAATTTTTAAATTTTATTTTAAATTACCTAGAATAGTTATAGCTTGAATATGTACTCAGTCAATTAAGAATGTTATGAAGAATCTCTACAGCATCTGTTGTACTGTACTAGGTAAATACTGCATTGTATTCACCCAGAAGTTTCCTGCAAATTCCAGCACAATACTGAACTCAACTGGAGCATTTGTAGTCAAATTTATGAGGGACAAAACTTGAACAATTCCACATTAGATTCTTCTTGTCTATTAAGTAAGGTTTAAAATATTGAATATTAACCAAGCAACTTGGACACAGAGATGCAGCTTCAAATAAAAATATATGGCCTAATAATGAACACATTAGTCCTGGACATACACATGCGGCGGTTATATAAAAAATTGATTACAAAAATTGTATAGTTTAAAAATATTAGTGCTTACACAGAGATGCTTTTTATAAAAAACATACAACCTTAAATAAAAGCAAGGCCAAATAATAGGCATATTAGTTCTAGACACAGAAATTAAGTTAAAGATACACACAGCTTCAAATGAAATACAAGGCCTAATAATAAGCAGGTTAGTCAGAGACATGGAACTGCAGCTTCCAGTAAAAAACATGGCTTAATATAGATATTAGTTTTAGATCTTGAAATACAGTTGAAAAAATTCATGGCTTTAAATAATAAACCACGGCGCGATAATGATAGGTAATATTACATTCTTTAGTCTCTTCTTAACCAAATATATTTTGAGTATGTAAATAACCACCACCCACAATAATTGCATTATTATCTGCTTGAGAATATAAGAAATTACTACGAAGCAATTTGAATATCTCAAAAATAAATTTATTTAGATCAATATACTTGCATACTGAACATAATTTCATATTTTTGCAGGAGGCTGCTACACATACTGTAAATTTTACAAGCGCATACAAAAATCATAAAATTAAAGAAGTTGGCAGTGTAAAAGAAACTGAAAAAGTTAACATTTGCAATAAACATACCACCTACACGAAGAAGAAGAATCTATGATTAAACAAGATGACTTGGACCTTTTTGACAATAAGAAATAACCTGTAACTCAAGAACTTCTTGCTTTAGAGAAATTGTGTTGATGGCTCATAAAATACCACGAGATCACCTACAATGGCAATATAGAGATATATTTTATGTATTTACTATGTGATTATTTGCATCACAAAGAAGTAAGCAGTAAAAATGGTCCAAGTCACCCATGGCAGTCAAGTTAGAATTCCCCCACATTCTCCCCTATGAAAGTTTAGCTCATTCTCTCCAGGGCAACTTTACAGATGTCTACGAATACATTCTGGTGGAAGCAAGCATTTTAGTTGCATCGTTGTTGTACTATCAATAAAAATCAAAGAGACAGACAGTATAACTCAATGAAGAACATCATAGAACTAGTGAGTAGTCAAAAATTTCATTATTGATTAATTTATTGATTAATTATTAATACAATTGTCACAATTGTATTAATCACTTCCTGCTCAAAGGCATTTGGGTTCACTAATCCACAACACGGATTTTATTTAATAAAATAAGCACTGCCTTCAAGCACTTGTTTTTAATGTAGAGAGGTTAAAAACAATGGATGAACTACTCCTTTAAAGTAAATGATATCAATGAATAAAGTGCCTAAACATCTCTCAAATGTTTGCTAGGATAAGGTAATTGGGTTCCTCTTGGAACACAAGACTGTGGCTGACGCAATATCTGTTGTCTGTGGAGATGACATGAACCAGCTCAGATCTTGAGGAACATTAAAGCAAAAAAGGACATATTTTTTACAACACTTTTCCTTAACTTTACTTCTTGTTTGTTCGTTTGTCTGCTACAAATCTTATAATCAATATTTGACACACTTCTACCGGTCCAATCGATCTGACATTTTGCACACTTGCATAAAGTTGGAGACAATGCATGAATCAATTGACAGAATAAATAATTTAACAAATTTAATTTTTTTCTAATATTGAAGAAAAATTTTATAAAATAATTTTTTTATTCAAATATTTTAACATAAAATAAGAAATTCATAGAACATGTGTAACATAAAAAATTACATAGTACATGTGGTCTCTAAAAGTAATTTTTGAATGCATATTATTACGAGATGAAATCTCATGTATTTTATCATCAGTACAATATCTTAGACATATTATCTTCCAACTCCAGGAGTAGGTGTTGTCTCTAGCTGAAGATTGGGTAACTTAAATTCAAAGTCAAATATGTAATCCTAAAATTCACATTAAGAAATCATTATCACAAACCTCAACTATATTCAACCTGGTAAATGTTATTTCAATCTAGCAAATTTAAATTAGTAGCCTACAAGTGGACGCTACTATTGTTGCCACTAAGAAGTTTATTATTGGAGAGGCCCTTCCCCCAACTGAGTAATGAAAATGACTATGTACTTGATTCAAATAATCTTGAAAATTTCAATGTATTGAACTAAGTACCAATTATAAGAGCAGAAAAATTGATTTGCATCACTCACATTTTCTCATCTAAATAAGATTCTATTTAAAATTAAAAATTCTGGCACAAAATGAGAAGGCCGACCAGATTACAGAGCATCAAGACCTTGATTTCTTGACATGGAAGGTGCATAGTTTGCAAGTCTCATTCAAATTTTGATTGTGGCATGAAAACTCAATACGGAATACTTCAACCAAATAACTGCTATAAATCAGTACACATTTCATCTGATATTTACCAGCTGCCACCTATACACACAAACTGAATTTTATCAAACCCCCTCAACAAAGCTTAGGTTGGGTTGTCAGCTGACACAGTAGCAGTACTTGTAGTATTAGATTTTTCATAATCCAGAACATGTTTGGATTTCAGGTGCTTTGTTAGATAACATTTCTTACCAGTGACATAATCACAAAACTCACATGGGAATCCTTTCCCTAAACCATGTTTAGAAAACATGTGCCTATCAAGACCATCTTTTCTACAGCTGACATAGTCACACTGCTTGCATTGAAATCCTTTACCCAGACTGTGCTTTAAAAACATGTGCTCATTCAAACGATGTTTATCACGTGCAGAATAATCACATAGCTTGCATTTTGAGCTTCCCAATACATGCTCTGAAGAAAGGTGCCTGCTGAGGTGAAATTTACTACCAGCAGCATAATCACACAACTTGCATTTGAATCCTTGCCCCAAACTATGTTTAGAATACAAATGATTTCGGAAATTTTGTATTTGAGCAGTAACATGGTCACACAGTTCACATTTATATCCTTGCCCCAAACCATGTTCTACAAACAGGTGACGTTTTAAGTTTTGTTTTCGAGCAGTAACATATTCACACAGATCACATTTTACACTCTTCCCTAAACCATGTTTAGAGAACATGTGCATTTTAAGCTGTGCTTGTATGCCAGTTACATAGTCACATAAGTTGCATTTTAATCCTTCCCCCAAACCATGTTTTGCAAACAGGTGACGTCGGAAACTTTCTTTTTGAACTGTAACATAGTCACACAGATCACATTTAACACTCTTCCCTAAACCATGTTTAGAGAACATGTGTATTTTAAGTTGTGTTTGTCTGCCAGCAGCATAATCACACAAATTACATTTGAATCCTTCCCTCAAACTATGCTTAGAAAACAAATGTCTATGGAGATTTTGTGTTATAGACGTTACATGGTTGCATAACTTGCATTTAAATCCAGATCCAAAATCATTTTTGTTTAACTGGTGGGCATTGAAAGGAACTTTAGAATGGGATGAATCAGTGGATGAGGAAACTTCATGCAATTCCTCCGCTAATCTTCCATTGTCTTTGTTGGACAAGCTTGACTCAAAAGACTTGAACTCAGCCACAGGCTGATCAAAGAGAACTTCCTGGACTAAAGCTGCTCTATTGGGCACTGGAGAAATATTTTTCTCAGCAACAGAAATATTTTTTTCCTTGTTTTCAGGAGAAACTGCCATCCACTCATCCTGTCCAGTGTTGCCCTGGGCATTGCAAGGCAAGACATCCTGGAGACGGAGAGCAGATTCTTGTGAGCAATTCTTTCAAATCAGGCAATGATTTGAATGAAGTCCTTTGAATGAAGTCCTAAAATTAGGGCAGTGTTCAAACATATATTAGGAAAAATAATCATTGTCTTCTACACTTTTTTATGGAGACAGAATTCACAAAATAGGCTTGAATTATATCAATTACCTACATTAGAATTTTTTCTTATAAAAACAAAATCATCATGACAATAGAAATAGAAATGACATCAGGGCACGGAACTTCTGTTAATGCAAGTCCATAAACAATGTCTCAAGTCGTGCCTGATGTATATACATCTTTTACAGAACAATGACATTTTGGATACCTGATATGAGGATTATAGAGAGAGAATTCATCTGTAAAATATACAGAAAGAAAATATAAATTCATATCCATTTCCAACATAGAAATACCAAACTCTAATTTATTTATACAGAAGAACAAAAAAAAACCCTGAAAAACAAGGTATACAAGAAATGAACACCATTGCAGCATGCATTACCGGAGGAGGTACATATTGCCACAGAAGTTCTGTTCATTTCAAACCTTCAATGTAATACTAACAACAAGCTTACATTAAACAGGCAGATATTTTATCAGAAAATGAGTCAAGAACTTTGGATGGGAGAACAAAGGACTGAGAATATAAATTGCTTAACAAATGATAAATGTACATATTAAAAATAAGAGCTGATCATCAGGTCAGATCAGAAGAGCTGATCATCATCAGCTATCATCAGCATTTGAATTGCTCAGCAATTTATTTGTACTGAGAAACCAGCTCTACCAACCTGCTTATGAGGCACGGCAGCAGTGTACTGTGAGGCGCTGGTGCAGGCCTCGCGAGCCTCAACTTGAACCTCTTTCTTGCATGGCTTGCAAGATGAGGGAAGTGGAGTTTGCTGGTCAGCACATCAAGAGCAGGAACATTAGTTACCATGCATGGATTTGGGAGAAATTCATAAATTAAAAAGGTCCAGAAAATGGCCTAACTCAAAAAGAACTTTACCATAGATAATAAATTGAAATATTTAATACAAGATTAACAGAATAACACAATCACAATGTGAATCAAATACCTTAATTTAATAACTCTTATTAGCAATTTATGAATAGTTACTTATAATGAAAAATTCCTTATAAGGTTGTCCATAAGCTTATTTCTGTGTGAGCTTTTGCATACTGTAAAAATATGTTACATCCAAATTTTGTTTGAGTTAATAATTTAGCACATTCATGCAAGTATTGAGTGAAATTAAATTACAAGCTTACAAATCTTGTTAAAAATATCACCTCATATTCTTCACTGCAAAGTGGTTCATCCTTCACAGTTATGTCCTCTCCTTCATCTTCAGGCTCCTCTTTGATGTAAACTGTCATGATGGAGGGTAGGGATGAGCTGCTGCCCTCCATTGCTGCATGAAATTTACAGAAATAATTAGCATGAGGCTACTTGCAGCTAAGAATATAAACATAAAACTGGACTCAAGCTAGGTATCTTAACTGCCTCCTCAACTCTTCAGCCAGCAAGATACTCTTATATGATCACTTAAAATGGCCTCCCAAACGATCCCACCACAGCCTCCAGTTTGTGGTTGAGGCTACAGTATTCCCATCAGGCAATGTCAGGCTGAATCAATGTTGAAACAATGCACTTCGGGACATTAAAATCCCGTTGATTATTAGTTTAGAATGAAAAGTGAGTCAACATCATTTTTTCAATGTTGCATCAACAATTGCCTGAACACATTGTACAAAATTACAAGTGCTCTTTTAATATTGGAATTAAACACAATTTCAACATTGAAACAATATCAAAAGGTATGATGTTGAAAAAAAATGTTTATTCACTTTTTATTCTGGACTAACATTCAATATTATTTCAACATTTCAAAGTATGTTGTTTCAACATTGACTCAGCCAAACATTGCCTGCTGGATCATGCCTCTGCCAATCACTCCACATTATAATTATCTGCCCATCATTCCACACCCTTATTAGCATCACCTCTACCATGTCCAAGAATTAAATATGCGAATTTAAATGAACATTTAGACTTGGACATTGGAATTGATGCTTTTCACATCTTTAAAAGATGGAAATAGTAATATCTATTCAATCAATTAAGGTAACTTGATCATTTAGAATTAAATTAAGACTAAATAGCTACTCTATACATTTGAATGATTAAATATACCTTTAACATTTTTTTAGCATAGTGACCTTACTAAAAATAAATTTTTCAACTGCAATTTACTCTTTCAATATGCAAAATTTTTGGAAATTCATAGGAGTAAATATATATTATAATTGGATATTTGAAATCTGAAAGTTGTCTTCATCAACTTACTTTCCAAACTACCAAGGGATTTGGTTCAACAATGAAATGAACAATAAAATCATGAATGTCAACAAAGTATAACATCTTTCAGATTCACAAATAAAATAGACATGCAAGCACCAGTTGTGAAGCATACCTTCAGGCTCGAGTTTGCACACGTCAGTTGCTGCTTGAATGAGGCTCTGCACAGGGCACCAGCCACTCCTGACTGCAGCATCTGAGGGCTGGTGCAGAGCAACTCTGCACTCTTTTATACTGTATGCCATGATATTAATGTGGGGGTATATAAGTATGAGGGTTCCTGAGACACACTAGAAGCAATAAGATATCCAGCAATAACCAACTTAAACCAAGCAGGAAGAGTATCTGTAAGCAATTCAAGATCAAATAAGTACCATTAAAAGGGGTAATAATAGACTGTTTTGAGCATTTTTTGTAAATAACTTCTTACCATGAAACATTTCATAACGAAGTTTGACTCATTTTAAAGATCTTTGCAAGGGCTATTGTATGGCATCTCCAAACAAAAGTCATATGCTATTGGTAAGGTGCCAGACAGAAAATAAAAGCCTCCCAAATTACTCTTGGGAATGGGGTAATTAGGGACAATTGAAATAAAACCTTATTTTAAAACGTTTGAAGCATGCAGAGTGTACTCATCCATTATTAACAGTACTCCAAAGTAGATGGTGTAGAGTACTGTTAGTAGATGGTGTAGAGTACTCTCTTCCTTTGTAGATGGTGTAGATGAAGAATAAATGACATTTTCTGTGATTTGTACTTGTTTATCCTTTATTGATATGATATTACCATATCCATACATTACTGCATTATTGATGTGATATTACCGTAACCATGGACGTGTCATTGAGAGTTGATAACAAACTTGTCCACTGTAAGCTTCATAACAGCAGCCATACCTATAGCATTTCCTCTTTATCTGTAAGCTTACAGGACTGGGCTTGTAATTTTGAACAATTTTAATTGGGTCAAGTAAACTATAACAAAAAAAATCATTAAAAAACATACCTGAAACAGAAAAGAATATTTTAGTGACATCCATCATATTTATTGGAGAAATAAATCATAGTTTAGGTCAATTTATTTTCATCCTATGTTGCCCAGAGCACAATCCTATTGATGCCACTTAATGCACAATTTTGTGATGACCAATGTGCACTAAATTTTTGTTAAGTGATTTTTTTGCTGAGTGAGGTAAATGTACTGTCAAACGGGTAATATAGAACGGTTTTGGGCGTTTTTTGTTAACAACTTCTTACCATTAAACATTTCATAAACAAGTTTGAACTCATTTTAAATCTCTTTGTGAGAGCTATCATATGGGATTTTGAAGAAAATTTTGTACGCTATTCCTAAGGTGCCAGATGCAAAATAAAAATGTCCCGAATTACCCCCTGGAATGGGGTAATCTGGGACTGTGGGACACTAAAAATATAACTTAATTTTAAAATCTTTGAAGCATGCTGAGTGTACATACTCATCCATTACTAACAGTACTCTGAAGTCCTCCTCTACCTTTGTAGATAATGTAGGTATAGAATTGTATGATGTAGATGTAAAATTCTCAGAAAATGGCCAAAATTGGTGGTACTGTAGAAATCTTATCTCCTCCTAGGATTTTCAAGCTACAACATTGCAACGCATATCATTCAATGCCTAAAAACCTTATCTATCGATTGGTTGTAGCTTTTTTTGAAATTTGCATTTTTGTGGGTGGTGGGGGCATTTTTCTTGAATTGTTCAATATAGTCAAATGGGGTAAGAAAGGATTGCAGGCTTCATGGGGTAAGAAAGGACCAGCCCATGGCATGCATTCTAATTGCACTAAATTTAATTTGATAAAAGAATATGTTAGAGCAATCATTGCCTGTCATTTCAGTGTTTGTTTCAACCCTCTTCTGCAAATAATAAATTTATGACTAATTTTTAAAGAAAACCTATGTAAAGAATGGTCACAAAATAGTTCACCCTGTTTGGGAAATAGGCTCTGTCTAATGACAAAAAATTTTTTGGCCAGGTTTGTGGATGTAGGCAGGTAAACTCAAGTAATAAGCAACTTTTGTGACATACTAGGCATTCCTACCTGCTACTATCACTGCCTGACATCTATTCTAAAATGGGGTAAAAAAGGACTGGACATGGGGTAAGATGGGACCACTAAATGATCCTGTTTTACCCCACAAGTGGTCCTATCTTGCCCCATAAATGGTCCTGTCTTACCCCAGAAATGGTCCTCTCTTACCCTACAGTTTATCAAAAATAGTTTTTAAATGAATATATTATTGTGCAGTACATGGAGTATTTTGGTAAAAATTTTTATCTTTTGCTCAAACTTCATTATAACTTGTTAGCTTTTGTAATTAGAGAAATTTAGGTATTTTAAATTGCATCAAAGGGATATAGAAAATAGGGATGTCTCTTCCCATTAGTGAGCTGCAGAACTAGTATGTGCAAGATTGGCAGGGGGAAAATCATTGTGTGAAATACGAAAAATGACTATTATCACAACTTTGTGAGAGGGCATGAGCTATGTTTGAAGAAGTGCACCACAAATGCAGTTTGCAAGAAAACACATGTCTGACACTCAAGTTATTATATTCATTTGTTTTATTATCAATTTGATAAATTTTTCAGACAATGACACTAATGGAATATACATGAAGCATTTAGCAGTGCTCTACAATGAACTAAAGCCAACCCACTATTACAATGCTTAACACAGTTTTCTTGTGAAAAAAACTCCAATGTGACCGATATTAGAGTTGACTTACCGCAACACAAAACAGTAACAAGTGGTTGTTTAATCAGCAAATGTGTTTCTAGATGGATAATATTGAATATCATATTTGTACTTTTATTAAAAATCTCGTAACATAAGGATCACCAGTTGGTCCTGCCTTACCCCAGCCTGGTCCCATCTTACCCCAATGGGGTGAGATGGGACCAGCTCACTTTTTTTAATCTGTACAGAAAACTATGTTAGATGAAAAACGTCTGAGTTGTAACTTAGAAGCTCATTGCATAAATACACCTTGTGATAGGTTTAGGGTTTTTAGTTATATATTCATGGTATAGATGCTACAGGCTTGTTTGTGATTTCGGTCCTGTCTTACCCCATCTGACTATAAATTTTTTATTTCCCTCTTTTTCCCACTCCCATTTCCCCTTTTTCAAAATATTTTCAGAAGTACAACAAAATTGAAAAAAGCTAGACCAATCTCTAGATCTTTTCTTTGCAAATCGAATGGTATATCTCTCATTGCCGTAGCTCAAAAACTCTAGGAGATAGGTTTGCAGTGACAATAAGTCTGAATATTTAGGAGAGTGTGACAAAGCCTCGAGCCCCTGCGGCGTGCTATATATACTCACTTATGGTAGCAAGGATACAAGGCAAGGCCTTACTTGAGCTAGAATTCAGTCACAGATGCAGAGAATGACTGCATGAGTACCCCGAAACCGCAAGACAGCTACTAGGCAACACCCGCGACAGAACTGCAGCATCCACAAACGTTAAGGGGACCGTCTAACCTAAAATTTTCAATTTAGGCGTTTTCCACTTTTTGGGCTCATCTTAAAGCTCACTTTTCAACGCATTCAACGGTACCAGAATCATCCCTGTGCGTCAAAAAATGATTTCGTGACAGCTTCCCAAAGAAGGGCAGTTTTTAGGCCCTTTAACTATTACCTATGGAACTAATTAGAGGGCTGGACAAACTAAAAAGGAACGCCTGACGTAAAGCGGCCAATCATGGCATTATCCGGTGCATATACTCATGTTAAAGCTTACTTTNAAGGCAGTGCATCGGCATGACCGTGGACTGAGAAGTGCTAAACTATTCATAAGGTCATAGGATGAACTCTTTCAATATTTTGGAAAATGAGCGCAAAATCAGACGACTTCGAAGCAAGGACCGCTACATTTTTCGTGCTACTTTCTTCAATGTTTCTGTTTCAGCATTTTCTCCCTAGTCGATCGTGCTGGATTTCATACTGAAGGAATAAAAAGTTCACTTTGAAACAAATTTGCATTTGGTAGAATATCGCTAGTCCAATAAAAATAGATGAACCCACGCGCGAAAAAAATAACCTCGAACTTGAAGAACATTATTAGCAGAAGAATCAAAGGTTTTCAATCGAGTAAAGAATTCTGGTACGTTTCCGGGGTCACTTACATGCAAGGCTTGCGAGATATATATAGGCCCTGTCTCTTATACACATCTAGATGTGTATAAGAGACAGGTAAGAAGTTATCAACAGTTATTAACAAAAAAAAAAAAAAACGATCAAATCTGTCCCAAGTAGCCCCGGTTGATGGTACATTCCCATAAGTACACTTTTTACACACTTTTTTTCAGGGATTTTTAAAAATAAAGGTAGTGAAAATATGATTTCCTAACTTAGCATTTTTAGGGTTGTTCCTCATTACCCTGGGTGTGGGTGGTGTCTCTTATTACTCCATCATGCAAAATGGCCACCATTTTTTGGATTGAGATATGCAAATTTCATCAATAATGTTTTCAAGACAGCACCTGTGTTGCTGTGTGCAACTTTTTTGTAGGAGTAAAATTTTTTAATACTGCAAAAAATATTTTGTTGCTAGAGACCTGAGCAGAGGTACTTTTTAAATATCTCACTTTTCACACTTTTTTCAGGAATTTTTAGATGTATGATTTCTTAACTTGCATTATGCTACATAGGTACTCGTACTAGGTACCACTACCCGGGACGACTGAAATAACCCAGCATTGCCCAATACCAGCATAATTTTCATACTTCACCCCGTGCGCAAGCATGCTGCTGAGCAAATTAGCCAACATGATTACTTGCTGAAAGCCACAGGGACTAAATTCCTTCATGGATGTAAACCAGCTAGCCAATGACCTGCAAGACGCCAAAACAATGGTCGTAACCCACACGCTAAACCCCAAAATATTTCTATTCCATGCAGCCTAGCCCTTTCCCCACTTTCGATAAAGAACGCCCTGCGCCACACTGCTACCTCTCCAGCCTGTCCGTTCTTCTGGAGGCTAAACCTCCACGCTTACCCCCTGCTCCCCCTCCTTTCGGTACCAGCTTGCGGAAGAAGTTTAACTAAACCTAACCTAACCTAACCTAACCTAACCCTTTTGCGGTATCGCGGAAAGGTGGAGAGAATGGGGTAAGTGTGGAGGTAGAAGATGCTGGTGAGCGTTAGGGCTGGGCTTACGCCTGCGAAGTGGGTAAGGTGATGCGACAGTCCGGTGCGGGGCCGTTCCCATTTACGGCAGTCTGGTGCGGTCTGCGGACCCTGTGGCTTACGGCATTTGTAAGAAGTGATGGTATGGGCATGGTGGCAATCCATAGGTTAT